AGAGAGAGAGAGAGAGAGAGAGAGAGAGAGAGAGAGAGAGAGAGAGAGAGAGAGAGAGAGAGAGAGAGAGAGAGAGAGAGAGAGAGAGAGAGGGGGGGGAGAGAGAGAGTGCACAAGGAAGATGTGTAACAAACGGATCGCGGGTCAATGATCAAGAACCGGGCCGGGTTTGTTTGAGAACGATTTAAAGATCTCCCTGTACGAAGCGTGACTCGACTTTATTAAAGCCGGCCCTAAAGCTTGCTCCTTTTTATTTACCTCGGCTTGCTTTCCTTTATTAGTTTCTCTTTCATCGTTATGTAAAAAATACATTGCACATCATGTCCTGCTGGTTTGTCATACGGACAATAACCTTGAGTGAATTTAAGTGCGAATTTGAGATAACACCATAACTTTTCGCACTAAGAATCTCTTTGAGAAATATAGGAAGGATATATAGATTAGATTCGAATGACAGATCGAAGCTTTATCGTGAGTACGCGCCTGTTTAATCGTCCGTGACTGCAGAGAAAAATCAACGCTTCGTCGAATAGGCGAGTAACCGTTGGCCATATCCGTTTTGTTTCTATTCTTCGAAATCACGGTTTGCCGCTGCGATTATTTCAACTTTGCGAGCGAGAACGCGCTATTATTAATATGACAAGCGAGCCTAATAATCATTTATTCAATTAACAAAACCAGTATTAATAAATTAGCCGGCTGGCGATACGACATGAAACTGCGATATTTAAAGAAATTTGGTGAGACCAATTCTCGCGTTATCTAATCATTAAACGTTTCGCGATAAACCAATGAAACGTCATGTCGCGGTATTGCGTGCCGCTCTCGTTTGCTAAATCGCTGTCATTCGCACCGGCGGACATTAATCTGAGAAACGCCGTCGATTCCGGCTTAACGAGGACCATCCCTTATCTCGGGTTTTGGCCGATGCCTGGGTTAATTATAAAGCAAAAAGAGATCGGCGGGAGAGAGGGGAAGAGAAAGTAATACGAAATGCAAAACAGACACTCATTCCTATCGCATATTAACGATTCGACGCTTTAGTGGGAGGACGGACCGGCGCCACGGGTCCCGATAGAATTTGAAGTATTACATTAGTCCGACTAATGACCGACATGACTGTCCGTGGGTAGATACCGGTTCTTCGAGATCTTCGAGAAGGAGCATGAGATCGTTGCACAGAGCAATACGGAGGACGATGATCGCCTCTCCGCGTTGAGGGCGCCACGTACTCGGGTGCATCCCGCAGATGCACGCTTGTATGCACGCACGAAGGTACTGTGGCTCAGGTATCGAAACACGATGAATCTAATTTTTCCATGAAAATTGCCTGTCTTCAAAGCGAAAAAAAAACGAGCTCCATTTGTCAAAATTCGGATCGATCTATCTGATCTTCGAGATTTCAAAAGGAAGAGTTCTCGGAAGAATTCGACGCGATGTTATAATTTTAAATACATGCGAGAGCGATCATAAATGTATTATTATAACTATACTGCGAAGTATTAAAGAGAGGATAAAGTAACAAATCAACACGGAAAGTTATTTCAACACTTCCAAAAGTTATATCGAGTTTCTCGCAGTCAGCTGAGATAATTCGTATTAATGACACATTAAAGCACATAGAGAACTTTTTTTAAATGTTTACTAGAGAAAGCGACTAAGAGAACATCATTTTTCTGATAATCCCACGTTTAGATTTAATAGGATATCAGGTGTCTATCTCTCTTGGAAGTTGAGCGAGAAGCCGTAACAGAATTAGGAGGAGACGTGGGGCAGATTGTAACAAGCGAGATCGTAACAGGAAACACGAGGCAGCGCCGATCGTAAGTCAAGAAAGCACTCTCGCTCTTAAAAAGCTCGCGATGCACGGTGAAAGAAAACGGAGCATCGCGACACGCGCACGCTAATTCATAGCTCTCGCGAGAGCGAAGCGTGTCTCCTTCCTTTTCTCGCGCGGTCCACGTTAGTCGTCTTGATTATATTCCGGAGGCTGGAAATTTCGGGTGGCGGTAATGAGGCTTAAAGGACGCCAGGATGTAATATCCGTGTGCCCAAACTTGGCCGAGATCATTGAGCCTCTCGCGCTGCCGAAATTAAATTCCTGCTGAGTTTTACGCGAGCTATCGACCGCCGGGTCGGATTCATCACGGTGGTTGCTTTTCTTAATGAGTGTCAAACTACTGCCCTCTCTCCTCCTCTCCCTCGGAGAGATCGTCGGCCGGAGCGATGTTTGAGCTCACGCGGCACTGTTGGGGCTAAAATAGCCGGCGTGACGGTGGTGCTTGTTTGATCTGCTTTGTGTCAGTCGTGTGTCTAGATGAAGCAATAAGTCGAAAAAATATTGGAGGTAAATTCTTTGAGTTGCGAGAAATCCACGAAAAACTACACAGAGTTTTCCTACCGCTTGAAAATATCACATAAAAAGTCAACGTCAATAGACCAAAATGTCATATTAGCTGGAAAGAAGATTTCAAGATGTTTAAGATATACTTATGTATCATGTAGAATGTTTGTTTCATTTGCTTTAAAAAGAATAACAAAAATTATTTTAATATCAACAAAAATCGCGTTATTATCCCGCAGATTTGAAGACATCGCGTTCCGCGTACCTCGAATCAAACGCGATTCGTAAAAAAACTGCACTCGGTTTTGCGCATCTTCGAAATGAAGGTAAAAAAGGTAAAAAAACTTCTGTGTGTCACCGTGCAATCACGTCTCGTCCGCATCGACTGCAGTGTCGAACGCACTTCTATGTGCAGCGAAGGCGCTAAGAGGGGAAGGAAAGCTCTCCGAACCAACGTCTCGAGAGCGAACGATGTAATGCCAACGCGTAGTCCTGCGAGAATCGTGCGGGTAGCGAGCGCATAGGGCAGAGCGTAACCTCGTGCGACTTCGTCCGATTCCGCCGGCGCTCGGCGCATCCCCACCACTCGGCCGCCGCCAGCCGAGTCTGCCGACGCGAGACGAGCGCTCGGCCGACAGACGCGTCCGCGACACCGAGTTTCGTGGTCATTGTTACGTTCGGCCCGCCAACGAGCGGAGTCTCGCCGAGAGATTCTCTCTTTCTCTCTCGGCCGCTCGCGTGTGTTCGCGATATCACACCTGACTTGCTCAGGCACTTCGCGGTGACAACTTTTGCTGGTACGATCGCAATTAGAACGGATTAGACCGTTCGGATTCCATCCTGGTGTCCCGTGGGAATTCATCAGCGGAATACGACTTCGATTTTGGAAAAGTGCGATACTGACGCGGCTCCGGTGCAAGGATATTCCAGAGTGTTTTGTGCGCCCGGAAAGAGGTAATTTCAGTGTGTGCGAGCGCAGTGAGAAAATTTATCTGTTATACTCGACGAGGGAGGCACCTCTAAGATCGACGGTCCCCTGCAACTTCGTGTCGCGCGTTTGTATCGCTCGACGGATATGTGGAGGTACAAGACGGTGCGCTTAAAAAGTGTACAAGTTGCGAGCCCGCTGTTCTAGTGTCGTCACGGAATACTCATTTTACGCACGCTTCACGCATTCTTTTCCGACTACCACTACCAAGGGGGGGAAAACCTTGGACATGCGAAGCGCTATCGTGTGCAAACGCTGCTGGATCGTGTGATCGACGGCGAGCGACGGCAACTACACGGCTCCAGCGAGAGGTGCCGTCTCGCGATCGGTGCCAGAGAGAGGATCGTGCGG